GATACCATGCTTCGAGGAACGCCATGGAGTTTGACTATCTCTCGAAAGTAGATATCCGCAACTTGTGAAGCATCATAAGTGGTAACACATGGCACGAAATGGGCCATCTTTGAGAAACGGTCCACGACAACCATGATCGAATCTTTGCCCCGCTGCGTCCTCGGTAGCCCGGTGATGAAATCCAAGCTAATATCTTCCCATGGTGCACAAGGAACGGGTAGCGGCATGTGCTTTCCTTGGGGCAGTGAGTGACTCTTTGCTAGGTGGCATGTGTTGCAACGCTTGAAAAAATGCTCGACGTCTCGTTCCATTTTTGGCCAGTGGTAATGCTCCTTCATCATCATGTGAGTCTTGTCGACTCCATAATGACCAGCTAGGCCTCCTCCGTGGACTTCTTCAATGAGGGTTTCGCGCATACTGCTTTTCGGGACACACAGTTGGTTACCAGGGAAGAGATAACCGTCTTTGACAAGAAAATCTCCATATGGCCGAATGAGGCACTTAGAATAAGTGTCCCTGAAGTCTTCATCTTCCTTGTATAGCTCCTGCAAAAACTCAAAACCAACAAGTTTGGTACTAAGTACCGTTAGTAATAAATGCCTCCGGGACAAGGCATCGGCGCCCTTGTTCATGGTTCCGTTTTTGTGTTTGATGGTGAAGGTGAAGGTTTGGATATACTCAACCCATTTAGCATGCCGGGGTCAGAGTTTATGTTGCCCTTGGATGTACTTTAGAGCCTCATGGTCGGAATGTAAGATGAATTCCTTGCTCACGAGATAATGGCGCCAATGCTCAAGTGACCGCACCAATGCGTAGAACTCCTTGTCGTATGTGGAATACCTCCTTCTTGTGTCGTTTAGCTTCTCGGTCCAAAAGGAATCATAACACTTAGCCATTATTCCGTTAATTTGTTTAACGACTTTAGAGTCGTTGGTAGTCGCCTGGGGTATATCAGAACCAAACCCAAGGGAGCAACTTTGGGCCATAACTTTGAGAAGTGGTAAAGAGCTTCAAGGCCCGGAAGTCGAAGCTGATATAGAAGAAGTCCCTGTGGATACTTCTATAGGAACAACCTCTCAAAAGAAGTCTGAATCCACACCCCAAGAGACGAGGAGGGAAGAAACCCCCTCCAGCCAACCCCAACTAGCTAGACAAACTCAGCTAAACACTATTCCCTTCCCTACTAGGGTTAAAAAGAGCAAGGACGAGAAAGCTTTCCAAAAGTTTCTCGACGTCATTGGCCAAGTTGAGGTCAAAATGCCCTTGGTAGATGTGTTAACTAAAATGCCCAAATACGGTAAATTCTTAAAGGACCTCGTAACTAAGAAGAGGGATTGGGAGGAATTCCCAGTTGTCAGCTTAAATGCTGAATGCTCTGCTATGTTACTTGAAGAAATTCCTAGAAAATGAAAGGATCCTGGATGTTTCATCATCCCTTGCTCCATTAACGATAGAACCTTTGGAGACGCTCTAGCTAACCTAGGAGCTAGTATCAATTTAATGTCGTCCTCTATCATGAAAGCGTTGGGATTGACTGGACTCAACCCTACTCAGATGTGTCTTCAATTAGCAGATAGCTCTATTTGTTACCCTAGGGGGGGTGATTGAAGACGTACTTGTGAAGGTAAATAAGTTCATCTTTCCTGCTGATTTTGTGGTATTGGATATGGAAGAAGAGAAGGAAAAGCCGCTATTACTAGGGCGACCATTCCTTGCGACCGCAAAGGCATTGATTAATGTGCACGACGGAGAATTAACTCTAAGAGTAGGCAATGAAGATGTCACTTTTAAGATGATGAGCGTCATGAATCGAACCCCAGACCCAGCTGAGTTCTGCAACTCAGTTAAAGTCATAAAAGATAAAGGGTCTGTAGAAGATCTTCTAAGCCTAGAAATTGCTTTTCAAGAACCTAAGTGTGAGGAGGTGTGTGTTATCAAGACGCAATCTGAACCCACAAACGAAGCAAAATCTTTAGAACTTAAACCCTTACCATCACACCTTGAGTACGCTTTCCTCGATAGTGAGGGCCAGTGCCCTGTTGTCATAGCCTCCGATCTAACACCTGATCAGAAGAAAAAATTACTAGCTGTCCTCCGTATGCACAAGCAAGCAATTGCTTGGAAACTAGAGGATATTCAAGGAATAAGCCCCGCTTATTGCACACATAAAATAGCCATTGAGGACGGATTTGAACCAGTTGTGCAGGCTCAACGCAGGTTAAATCCAAAATTAATGGAGGTAGTGCAGAAAGAAGTGCTTAGACTCCTGGATGCTGGAATAATTTATCCCATTTCCGATAGCCAATGGGTGTCACCAATCCATGTTGTTCCAAAAAAGGGTGGAATGACAGTAACCAAAAATGAAAAGGGAGAATTAGTTCCAGGAAGAACGGTGACTGGATGGCGAATGGTCATAGACTATAGAAAGTTAAATGATGCCACACGCAAGGATCATTTCCCCCTTCCTTTCATTGACCAACTCATTGAGAAATTAGCTGGCCATGCGTACTATTGCTTCCTGGATGGGATGAGTGGTTATTTCCAAATCCATGTAAATCTCGAAGATCAGGAGAAGACCACTTTCACTTGCCCCTTCGGAACCTTTGCATTTCGTCAGATGTCATTCGGACTCTGTAATGCCCCTGCCACCTTTATGAGGTGTATGATAGCTATTTTTGAAAAGTTTATAGGGGATTTTATGGAAGTCTTTATGGATGATTTCTCTATCTGAGGGAAGTCATTTGACGAATGCCTAGGTAATCTAGAAAAAGTTCTCATAAGATGCGAGGAAACTCACCTAGCTCTTAGTTGGGAGAAATGCCAGTTCATAGTAAAAGAAGGAATAGTCTTAGGTCACAAGGTATCGAGATTAAAATCAAGACTATCGAGAAGCTTCCACCGCCAAATTCCGTAAAAGCCATCCGAAGTTTTTTAGGGCACGCAGGATTTTATAGAAGGTTTATCAAGGACTTTGCTAAAATAGCAAAACCCCTAACTGCCCTACTAGAGAAGGGTATAGAGTTTGTTTTTACGGATGAATGTTTACAAGCATTCAATACCTTGAAAGAAAAACTAATCTCAGCCCCAGTTCTTATCGCCCCAGATTGGGCCCTACCATTTGAACTAATGTGCGACGCTAGCGATTTAGTAGTAGGAGCAATCCTTGGACAAAGGAAGGAAAAGGTTTTTCACCCAATTTACTATGCTAGTAAAACCCTTTCGGGAGCGCAACTCAACTACACAACTACTGAGAAGGAATTCCTAGCAATTGTATACGCTTTGGAAAAATTCAGGCCTTACATCATTCTTTCTCCAGTTGTCGTTTACACCGACCATGCGGCGTTGCGGTACCTGTTACAAAAGAATGATGCAAAGCCTCGGTTATTACGATGGGTTTTATTGTTGCAGGAATTTGATTTACAGATCAAGGATAGAAAAGGTTCGGCCAATCAAGCCGCAGATCATCTATCTCGTCTAGATGTGGAAGTAGCCGAGCAATTTGGCAATTGTATAGTGAACGAGTTCTTTCCCTTTGAGAGGATCCACGCTATACAAGAAAAGGAACCTTGGTATGCGGATATTGCCAATTATTTGGCAGGGAAGATCGAGCCTACCTTGCTGACACCGCACCTAAGCAAGAAGCTCACTTCTACTTTTGGGACCACCCCTACCTTTTCAGGATTTGTGCGGACCAAGTACTTCGGCGATGCGTGACTGAAGCAGAAGAAAAGGAAATTTTGGCAGCCTGCCATAGTGGCCCAGTTGGCGGACACTTCTCAGGAGCAAGGACAGCAAGGAAAGTGTTGGACTCAGGATTCTTCTGGCCAACGCTTTTTAGGGATGCTAATCAGTTTGCTGCTTTCTGCGACCGCTGTCAAAGAACGGGCAATATATCTAAGAGAGATGAGATGCCACAGCATTACATGCTGCCATGTGAAGTATTTGATGTGTGGGGAATCGACTTTGTAGGGCCATTCCCGAGTTCTTATGGTAATAAATACATCCTCGTTGCCATCGATTACGTCTCCAAATGGGTTGAAGCCCAAGTGTGCAAAAGAGACGATGGTCGTACTGTGGTTCGCTTCTTAAAGAAACTGTTTTCGAGATTTGGAATTCCAAGACTAATAATAAGTGACAAGGGTACCCATTTCCGAAATGATCCGCTATCTAAGGCGTTAGAACGTTATGGAGTTCAGCATAGAGGAGGAGTGGCGTACCACCCTCAGACGCAAGGGCAAGTGGAAAACGCAAACAGGGATTTAAAGAGAATCTTGGAAAAGACTGTTGCCCGAACGAGGAAGGATTGGAGAGAGAAACTTGATGATGCCCTATGGGCATTTTGCACGACTTATAAAGCGCCAATTGGTACAACTCCCTTTCACTTGGTGTACGGAAAGTCTTGTCACCTTCCAGTACAAATTGAGCATAAGGCGTTATGGGCACTGCGTAGTGTTTGCCTTGATTCTTCTGAAGCTGGGCGAGAAAGATTTTATCAGCTAGATGAGCTAGACGAATGGCGAGCATTAGCATTTCATAATGCTAAGCTATACAAGGAAAGGATGAAGCTTTATCATGATGCTCATATCAAGAAGAATAGGGTCTTCCAAGAAGGCGAAAGAGTGTTGCTTTATAATTCCCGTTTAAGATTCTTCCCAGGCAAACTTCACTCCCAATGGACAGGGCCCTACACAATCACCAGAATCTTCCCTTATGGGACTGTAGAGTTGAGAGGTGAATCTGGTACGTTCAAGGTCAATGGGCAACAGATTAAGAGGTACTTTGGTGAGCAGTTTCAAAAAGGGAAGGTGGAGATTAAACTCCACAAATGATGAAGTAATTGCGTCAAGCTAGTGACGTTAAAGAAGCGCTGAACGGGAGGCACCTTGTTATTTTTCTCTATTTTATTCAATTATTATTTTCTATTACTCTTTATTTGAATAAATGAACGGAGACTTGTCGCACCTATATGGGGGCAAGATGTTATATGTGTATTTCATGTGCAGATGCCTCACAGGCCAGCATTCCCGGCTGCTACGCGTGCCAATGTTCACTTGGTGGGTTCAGGGCCCATCGAGCGATTTGAGATGTGGGGCCGCCATCGCTCATTGACGGAGTCTGTGTACCTGTCCTCGGCAGTTCTCACCGATTACGGATACGCTGAGGAAATGGAGCAGCTGCTACGAGGGACGAGGTGGCATCGCCTCTTCACGATGCGAGCTGAGTCCAGCCTGCCACTAACGATCGAGTTTCTGTGCTCTCTTGAGCTGGAGCCGTCTACGGGGTCACGGTCGATGAACTTCCAGTCCATCGACTCTCATACCACCCTCACCTTCACTCTCTTGGGGCGGGGATTTCAGCTGACGATCGCCGAGCTGGCCACTCACTTGGGTCTTTACTCTCGGGAGGAGACGTAGGCACCAGAGTTTGATGCCGCACCATACCTTCTCCTTGCGGATGTTGATCCTGCTGACTTTTGGGCGGAACATTCTTCTGACCCGGACCGCTTTGAGGGCATGGGTCGGGCCAGGTTTTGGATTCAGCCGACTTGGCGAATCCTATCTTTTGTGCTTTCGACGTCCTTCTTTGGGAGGCCGTTGAACACGGATCGGGTATACCCCGATGACATGATGGTCTTCTGGAGCTTGCACACACGCCAAGAGGCGAATGTGGCTGTCTTTGTGGCCCGATTCCTCTACAGCCAGTCTATGGGGAATCGGACGCACATTGTCTGTGGTTTCGTGGTCACCATACTCTTCCGATCACTCGAGGGGGCGGCGCCCATTCCGCAGGCACAGATGTTGATGCGAGATTTGGACGCGGGCATGCTGAGGAATGCTCACATCCGTAGGAGGTTGGGAGCTAGCTCTACCGAGAGCAACGGTGCTTCTTCATATGCGCCCTCGACCTCAGGAGCATCTTCGCAGGTCTCGTCTAGGAGAGCCACTCGTCGCCGTCCCACTTCTCAGGCCGCTCCAGCCACGACCCAGGCGGATCCGACCCTTGAATGGGCTAGGAGGATCCTAGAGCAGCAGGATACCATCATGCAGAGGATGTCCGAAATCGGACAGCAACAGGCATCCCAGGCTGAGAGCTTTGCCCTGCTTCGGAGGACCTTTACTGGCTTTTACTCAGATGTGCACATTGGGCTCACCCCTCGCTCTCCTGAGGGCGACGATCCATCCGCTTCTGTTCCTCCCCCTTAGTGATCTTCATATTATTTTCCTTTGAAAACTATTTCTCTTCGTTTATGAGCAGGAATTGATGATCAACTGGATTGTTGGAACTTCTTATTTTCCACCGGTAACATTTACTTATGCACTTGCTCTATTTCTATTTCAATCAACTCCTTTTGATTTATTGATGTGTGAGTTCTTTTGTTATTAGTCAATCATCCCAACCCGGTATTACACTCCTAAACATTTTTTTTTCCAACTGCGAGGACGCAGTTGTGTTCAAGTGTGAGGAGGAAAGTTACCTGGTTGAAATGATCGAATGAGACGTGTTTTACTTGTATACTTATAGACCACTTTGGTTTTAGCATAATCATCAGTCTAATATTGAATAGTTAATCGATAGGGTGTCAAGCATATAAATTGAAAATTTTCAAAGGTTTTGGCAAACTCCTATTTTTACGTGATTTTTTTTATCGAATAGACTACTACCATTGCTGAAATTAACTAGTATTTTCTTAAAAGTTTTTTTAAGTCAGATACTTTAATTACCCTTAAAAGCTATTGATTTCACTGGAGTTCTTAACAATGTGTAAAGGTCTGCACTAAATATTTGCTTCTTGTACCTTTAATCATGAATTTTTGCTAAGATTGCGCTTAAGTGACGAATTGGAAATTCTATCTCCTGTAAAGGAGCTCTGCTTCTCCCGCTAATCGCATAAGGCGAGGGAGCAAGTATGCATCTGACATAGAATAAATCCACAATCTTGGTAAGATAATTACGTTTCTGTGAAATGAGAAGCCTTCTCATCAAGAAACAACACATATTGAAGTTATTAAGGCCTTTACATTATTGGCAATTATTCGTGAACAATGGGCTTTAGAAGAGATAGTTGAGTCTATTTGATCTTAACAATTTTTTTAAGAAATACATTCATTTCAGTAAATGGTTTGCTTCTATTTGATTTAATCAAGTAAAATACGTGTTTGGTGAAAACTTGGCAAATTTTCAGAAGAAATGAGAGACAACTCTAAAAGTATAGCTATTTAACGAAGTCTGATGATTATGTTAGTTGAATTGGCCTCATGATGATGCAATTAAAGCTTTTTTCAGCAATAATAATAGAATGTCATACCCTCAGTGGTCTAAAGTTGTTGATTGAGGGCAAGCAACGTTTAAGTGTGAGGACTTTGATAAGTTCGTTTTGTTCTTATTTTATTCTACATATTTTAAGCGTTATTGCATGAAAATAGTGATAAGCAGTGCATAATTTTATGTTAAACTGAACAATATCTTTGATTTGTTCTTTAAGGAATAATAATTGGTTTAAAATCTGTCTCGTCTTGATTGTTGATTTTTCTACTTATATTTGAAAGAAAGAAAATTTTTTAACTGAGATTTTTATCATGAGAATTTTGGAGGAAACTGAAACAGAATGCGAAGCAAAGTGAAAATTGAAAATTGGGCCCGAATAGGATCAAGCCGCGGAAAAAGCCCACAGGAGAAGGCCCAAAGCGTCCAACCTTGGACGCTTTGCAGGTTGGACGCTTCCCCTTGGACGCTTGGCGATGATTGGGCGTCAAGAATGACACGTGGCAAGCAGCGAATGGACGGGCCGCGTAAGGCGTCCAACTTTGGACGCTTTAGATCCAGACGGCTGGGGGTTGGACGCTTCGCATCTGATCCTATAAATACAGCACTCCCCCTCTCCGATTTAACACGCTACACAGCGCCCCTCTTCTCCCAAAAACCCGAATTTCTCCATTTTTAGTCTAGATTTACAAAGCCACTTTCATATTTTAGATTAGTATTATTCCTTGGAGTTTTCTCGGAGCAAATTGTAGCCCGGATCTCAGTTCTTCAGATTTGTTGAAGTAAGTTTGTTAACTTTTTACTATCAACTGAAAAATGTCTTCTTATGATGCATGTGTGTTGGAAGTTTTTATTATGAGTAGCTAAATTAATTGGTGATGTGATTATTGGAATGATGATGGTAATTTTCTAAGAGAATCATTGAGTTGAATTATAAAAGGGAATTTACTAGTTTTTATTACTGAGAGTTTATACTTGAGATTTGTAAATCGAGAGAAAGCAAATCTATTTTTTTTGAAAATTATATTTCTTGAGAAATCTGGAATTTAATTAAGTCAAGTCCAATAGTTTGATAATTGATCTTTAGACATTGGATTGATTGTTAAGTAAATAATTGAAAAGATGTTTACTTACTAGTAAAAAGATTTAAGGTAAAAGTAACTGATGATTTTACTCTAAAAAGAACCATCACCTAACCAATAATTACATCCCTACCTTTTATTTCCGAAAGATAAAATTCAATCTCCATTCCTTATTCGACCTTTTGAAAACTTTTTGATTCATTGAGTAAATCTTGTCTAACTAGTCTTGCTTAACTTTCCCTTGGGCCGATCCTTGAGACGACACGGGATAAACTGATCTTTTAGAAGATCTAGTCTGTTCCCTTTACTACTACGGGAGTTTTGCGTTAAAGTAAAATTCCTCATCATTCTCCACTCAGAATTTCTTGGAAAACTCTTATCTTCCCCATAATGAGTATAGCCTCGTGTATAGTGGGGGTTAGAAGGTTTTCTTCTGAAATTGTTTTCTCTTTGAGGTGTATCCACCTTCTTATAGTTTTTAGGAGGGACTACCTTTTTGGGAACTTCTATAGGTTTCTCCTTCTCCTTACCTTTCTGCTTATTGGATTTAGCAATAGGTTTGGGAGGAATAAAAGTTGTTCTTCCTTTCCTTTTGGAACTGGAGGGTTCAAACACAAGTCCTTCACGACCCTTATATTTGGTCGTTTCAAGAATCTTATCCACAGCTTCTTTGGACATAAGTATCCCTAGCTCCTTGTTGAGGGATTTCACCTTTTCAGAAAGAGATTCATTCTCAGCCTTGAGTTGAGTGATCTCACTTAGTTGACTTTTCTGACCTTCAGTCAACTTGAGATTCTCTTCACTCAATAGCTTGTTCTCCTCTATTAAGGATGAGTGTTTAAGGTTTATTTCCTCAAAATCTTCCATCATCTTTTTGAACTTGTCAAAAAGATTTTCAGAAGTTGGTATGCTTTCATAAGAAGATGAGCAGGAGGTTTGTGATGTTACCTCTTGTTCGGCATCATCTTTGGCCATTAGGTAGAGAGTGTCATCTTCTGACATAGTCCACCGATCCTCTTGGTTGGACTTCTCAGCTCTGCGCTCCATGCAGACGAGAGCTTATTCATCCGAGCTTGAACTGGATGACTCGTCACTTTCAGCTGCTACCATTGCCTTCTTCTTTTTCTCGTTCCTTTCTCTTTCTCCGTACTTCTCCACTTTAGGGTACGGACAAGCTGACTTCCAGTGGCCAGGCTTCCTGCAATTATAACACAAATAAGATTCAGGAGGGGCGTCGCTTACCTGTAGCTTTCCCGTGGATGGCCTTTTGACTGAGTCAGTTTTCTTGAAGAACTTCTTGAACTTCCGGAACTGCTTGATCATCATTGCAAGCTCCTCTTCGTAGTTCTCCGTTTTTGAGCTTGGTGGCTGGCTAGAGGAAGGAGTGTCACAGTTCCTTGGACATGTCCCTTCGCTTGCTGAGACTCAGGGAGTTGTCATCAGTGCCGTGGGAAAAGGAGTGACTTGTTCTTCCTTCTTCTTCTTCAGCTCATGCTCATAGGTTCTGAGCTCATCTAGGAGACCTTGGACAGTGTAGTTCTCCAGATTTCTTCCTTCTTCCATGGTTGTGGCTTTGGTGTACCACTCAGCTCGAAGAGACCTCAATAACCTTACGTTCTTTTCTTTGGGAGAAAGGACGTGGTTAAGTAATGCAAGATCATTTAAAATTTTGTGGAATCTTTCATCCAGCATGTCAAATGATTCTCTGGGAAGCATTTTGAAGCTTTTGAACTTCTCAAGCAGAACCTCTATCTTCTGCTTTCTCAGGTCCTCCGATCCTTCACCCAACTTCCCAAGACCTTGTCATATCTCCATGGCAGTCTTGAGATGTTTGATTTTGGAAAAGGTGATGGGATCAAGTGTCTTGAAGATGGCTGTTTTGGCGACGTTGTCCAGGTTGTGCTTTTTGCAATCTCTATCATCCCATTTCTCCTTGGGCTTTGGAATGTACTGGACTACATCTGGGTTTATTGGATTCCTCTCTAGATTCTCCATTTGAATCTTCAAGGGTCCATCTTCAAGCACCATCCACATGCAATCGTGTAGAGCGTAGAGGTATGCTTCCATCATGATCTTCCAATCATCAGAAATAATATAGAAACTTTAAATAAAACAAATGTTAGTTATAAAAAAATTATAATTATCCATGACGACTAGTACGATCATGTTATGTAAAAAAATGTGTCACGTGTTGAGCAAACGCATAGGCGGCTTCAAAAAAAAGTGATCAAGTTTAACCAATCAATCTTGAACTTAATTTCTAAGTTTTTAAGTGACAATTGACTTTTCACAAAAAAAAGATGACAAACTTTAATTGAGTTTTGAAATTTAATTTGTTTGACTTTGTTGTTAACTGTCTATGGTAAGTCTTTCAAAATTAAATCGGTAAATATTTGAAGATAAGTATCATTGTAAAAACAAAAAATGCTAATTTTGGAATTTAGCATCTCCAAAGATTTGCTTAACAAAAAAAAATTCCATTATTCAATTCACTAAAAAAAGAGTTTTGAAAATGTATATACTTAAAGTGAATGGAAAAAAATGAATTATTTTGGTATTTGACTTAAATTGTTTAATCTTGATTAAAAAATGTTCGATTGTCGTTTTAACTGCTTAGAAAAAACAACGTAGTTTCATTTCAAAACATATGAATTAGAGAAATATTTGATCAAGGGTCAAAATGATCTCTTTTTTAAAAAAAGGGTACATACATCCTTGATAAAAAAATTATCGAAATGCACTTATTAATTTCACTCTTCACCTTAGAAGAATTTCGGGGACGAAATTCCTTTTAAGGGGGGGAGAAATGTAACAACCCGAAAACCGGGTTAGTAGTTAGCCGTTATTTTAATAAAAATAAATATTAAATTTATTTTACTCAATAAGATGAACTATTTGTAAAGTTGCCCGTTTTATTTAAAAATTAGGTTTTCGGGTAGGTCTCGTGAAATGGTGACCAACGGTATATAATTTGTTAAGTTTGGATTTTTGTATAAAGCGTGGTGGGTAAAATAGACGTGGTGGGTAAATATAAAGATTCTATAATATAATATTAATAAATAATAATAATACGTACATAATTTCCTAAGTAAAAACGGAAAACCCACCCTACCATCTAAACTATATATACGCGCACAAGTAGAAAAAAAGGGAAAAGAAAGGAACAGAACACGCCGCCCAAAATCAGAGAAAGAAAAAAAGGAGAGAAAAGAGAACAGGCGCTGCGAGAACGAAGTCGACGCTAGGAGGTCTCCAGGAACGGAAGACCGAAGGTGATCGCCGCTGCTCCAGCAATAGTCCGACCCTGCCGATTCGCCGCTCCACCGAAACGCCGCCGCCGCTTCTGTTAAATGGAGAACAGCCTGTTAAAATGCATCCCACATCAAAAATCCAAGAATAAAATAATCGGTATATAAGCTCTTGAGTTGAACTAACTAATCGATTGGATTCAATCTTTTAATGTGGTTTAACCCAAGTGTCTTATTACCCAATCCAGTTATCAATACCCTCCAAAATTCTATCATGGTATCAGAGCTAGTTTTAGTCCACCTCGTTTGTCAAGGTGTCTGTCTAGACGTTCATTCCTAGCGGCCCGTTAGTCTTTAGCCTAGTTGTTTGTATGGAGTATGTACTCAACGGCCTTTGGCCCATTTAACACGATTGCTCGTCTGGAAGTCCATACCCAGCGGCTCGTGGTTCTTTAAGTGTTGGCGCTCAAAAAAAGTCAAAGGAATGGAAGTTCATTTGCAAGTGGTCAACCGGTTAGATTCAAAATGGCGCGGTTGTCCACTTGAGGGGGAGTGTTAAAGTGCATCCCACATCAGAAATCTAAGAATAAAATAATCGGTATATAAGCTCTTGAGTTGAACTAACTAATCGATTGGATTCAATCTTTTAATGTGGTTCAACCCAAGTGTCTTATTACCCAATCTAGTTATCAATACCCTCCAAAATTCTATCAAAGTCAAGGAACCAACTCAACCAGAAGCTCAAACTTGTGGTTGTGGCCCAGGAACAGTTATTTATATTCTAACACGCCCCCTCACGTGCAGGCGTAGTCTTTTTCGAGCCTTGCACGTGAAACCTTAATTTTTTTTAAACTGGGTGGTGCTGAATTTCGAACCCGTGACCTCTTAGTCAACGAGGCTCCGATACCAAGTCAAGGAACCAACTCAACCAGAAGCTCAAGCTTGTGGTTGTGGCCCAGGAATAGTTATTTATATTCTAACACCGCCGTTCTCTACGCCGGTGATCCGATTCGTTTGATTCGTTTTGTTTAATTCGCCAATTAATCAAGGTCAAAACGTGGACACCTAAGCTAGATTTCGTATATAGATTTGAAATTCACGTTTGTAGTTTCGTATGATTGATTATGTGGTTTATTTGATTATAATTAATTTATGATTTATTTATATTATATATTGTTATTGGAATTTATTGAACGAGGTTGATCAGGTATGTTTCCTTACTTAAAATTGGTGTGATTTGCATGATAATAATCTTTAAAAACATAATACATATTGAATGATTTGAAATTTGGTTGATCTTGTATGTTGCATGACGGTAAGTGAACGGTGTTTACACCCGACACTAGGCCGCCATTTGGATTGCATGATGATCTATTTAGCTATTTCTATTCTCTTGATTTATTGTAATTATAATGTTGATATGTCTTGTACGTATAAAGTAAACTGAGTTTATTGTTAGCTTGGATCTGATTAGTTGAAGTAAGTTAATGAGATAGGTTACCCAGAAGTACTCTAGGGCTACTTTGTGAGAATTGAGATTGTGAGATGACAATAGGTTTAGAGCCTTGTGGACTTAATGTCCAATGGCACTTGGGTAAAGATGTACGTACACCCAACCGGCACCGTAGGTATCGGGTTGACCAGAATCATGGCCGTAGGTAGTGATTCTAATGTCATAGAATAGACTTGAGTCATAGCCGTAGGTAGTGGCTCTAAGTCTTAAGATAAGATGTGGATAATGAGGAATATGCCTTAGCGTAAAATAGGTTATGAGCTAGTGTTGGATATGACCTACTGTGATAATAACATGTGCAGGTGAAGAGCCAAGGTAGGTAATCTGAAGTATGCTTGTTATAACGTAGTTGATGTATCTGATATTTGTTATGTGTAGCTATTAAAGGCTTCCGCACCGTTTGTTAACTCCGATGGATGTTTTAAATAATGATTTGAATTAAATGTTTTAAATTGTTTTGAAAATTATGGTGTCTGAATACCAATGTAGTAGAAACCCAATCCGCTAACTCGTTGGTTCGGGTTACGCGGGCTGGGGTGTTACACTTCTAGAATTATGTATTATTATTAACCATGTACAATAGGTTTGTTATCTATTCCTACGGCTGTGCAATTGCATCGTAGTGGTGTAGCTCATGTAACTCATGTATATATTTGGCTTCTTGTTTAATGAAACTGAGTGAACATTGCAGTTCTTATATGGTATCAGAGCCATTTACCTCTTTACCGAGAATCCTTTATTTTGATCCCTCTTTTCAGTGATGTCGTCCTCCACTGTTGCACCTTTAACCGAGCTCGTTCATGTGGCTGGCTCGAAGCATTTTCCAATTAAATTAACTAAAACAAATTTCCTTGTGTGGTGTCAACAGGTTCATTCCACCCTTGTTGGCCTCGATCTCCTTGGATTTGGGGTGGTGTGCACGATGGTGGTCGGTCCACAACTGCCTACGTGATCTATCTTGGTTCGAATGTTGTCTCCTGGAAATCTGCTAGTCAAAAGACTGCCGCTCGGTCCTCGACGGAAGCCGAGTATTGTGCCCTTGCTCATGCTACCGCCGAAACTCTACGGTTCCAACACCTTGTGGCTGACTTAGGATTTCCCGTGTCTACACCACCTATGCTATTTTGTAATAATTTGGGTGGTACATATGTTTGCAAGAATCCGGTTTTTCATTCGCGCATGAAGCATTTGGCGTTAGATTACTTCTTTGTGCGTGAACTTGTTGCTGCCAATTTATTGTGTGTTTGGCATATTACATCAGCTGATGTACTCACCAAGCTTGGTGTGTCTGACGGCACCCCAATCTAGCGGGGGCGTATTAAGTCTAATAATCCTACTAAGGGGCTGTTTGTTTCAGCCTCTTAATGGTTCAGATGTCTAAATGATTCAGCACTTAATGGTTCAGACTGTTTGTTTCAGCCTCTTAATGGTTCAGATGTCTGAATGGTTAAGAGATTTGCCTTTGAATGGTTAAGTATTATACAGAGTCTGAATGGTTAAGAGCTCTTATCTGAATGGATCAGACATTTGCCTCTGAATAGTTAAACAATAAGCATAATTTGTGCCGTCGAAGAGTGGTGGCCTTGTCGTGGATTGTCCTTCGGCAACTCCGGGTTGAAATGTTCTTCCGACCATGATCTTTTTAAATTTTCAGCGGTAAAGCTTTGAAAATCCCTTGCTCTGATACCAATTGTTAGACGCCTCGCACACCTCTAGAGGGGAGGTGAAAAGAGGTGTTGCCCAAAAGACCGGTTTTTTTTTGCGCGGAAACGTTCTTCACGAATATTCAACAAAAACAATGCACCACAAACAAAATAAAGTGAAGGATAAGAGCAATGCACACACGATATATACTGGTTCGGCCTAAATGCCTACATCCAGTCCCCGAAGCAATCGTGCCCAGGCCTTCACTAACCCGTCAAACTTAACGGAGTTTGACAATCTGAATACAACTCGAGAACTTGATTTCACAAGCCTCTTATCTTACCACCGAAGTTTTGATTTCACAAAACTCAGGATTTCTTCCACTTAACGTTTGATTTCACAAACCGTTAGGATTTCTACCACTTGGTGTAATCCCAACACCAAGAATACAAATCCCTTACAATAAAGTAAGAAAACAAACCGCAACCGAGTAATTCTCCCAACACGGAGTAGATTGTTGCAAATACAATGAAGTCCTTTAGAATATGGCAATATCTCTCAAAGACTCAAGCAATGAGGAAAAACTCAAGCAAGAAATGATTTAGCAATCAAAACAATTGCCTTGCTTGGATATAAGGAGGGGATTGAGTAGAATCTCTTTGGATATTCAAAGGATATGTT